CTTCTTCTTCTTCTTCTGTAGGTCATAGGGCTTGAATTCAGGGCCTGGGAACTGTCCCTGAACTTCTTTATGCTCAAGGCTAACACTCTACCACTTTGAGCCATAGCTCCACTTCTGATTTTCTGGTGGCTAATTGGAGATAGGAGTCTCACCGACTTTCCTCTCTGGGCTGCCTTTAAACTGTGATCCTCAAATCTCAGCCTCCTGAGTAGCTAGGATTACAGGTGTGAGCCACTAGCACCAGGCTCCATGAGATTCTTATATCCAACTTAACACCAAAAAGTCAGAAGTAAAACTGTGGCTTAAGTGGTGGAGTCCTAGTCTTGAGCAAAAAATGCTCAGGGATATTACTCCAGCCTTAAGTTCAAGCCCCAGGGCTGGCATAAAAGAATAAAGAAAGGAAAAACTATATGAAAACAAATTAAAAGCAAAAGTGACTGGAGGCATGGCTCAAATGCTAGATCACTCGCCTAGCAACATGAGATCCCGAGTACTGCCAACAATGGCTCCCACCTATAATCCTAGCTACTCAGGAGGCTCAAAACTAAGCATCATTGTTCAAAGCCTGGACAGAAAAGTCTGCAAGACTCTATCTCCACTTAACCAATTTGAAAAAAGCTGAAAAGCTAGAGTAGAAGCATGATTCAAATGGTTAGAGTGCCAGCTGTGGGTGAAAAGGCCAAGGGAGAGCCCAAAAACCCTAAGTTCAGTACACACACACACACACACACACACACACACACACGAACCGAAATCAAATTTTCATGGTGCTACCTAAAAACAAAATAAACAAGAATGAGAAATACACAGTAAGAAGTGTCTCACAGGAAGGGCCCCTTGTTGCCTCTGATGCGGGCCATGGCAGACACAGGAAATCCACCAGACACATTTTGTTCAGAGTGAGTCTTCATATAGACAAGGGAGTCCTTCAGGTTTGGTCATTTCTCAGTCAGGGGCTCTCATCCCCACCTCCAAGGTTTGATGGATCTCAGCACTCAGTGGGCTTGGAGGACTGTGAATGCGTCTCCATCATGTGTCTCCCTATGTTGGGGGTGGAGATCTGCTACAATGAGTGGGTTTCAGAGGAAATGATCATCTCTGTGCTCTACTTGTTTCAGGAGTGTGTGTGTGTGTGTGTGTGTGTGTGTGTGTGTGTGTGTGTGTGTGTGTACTAAGGGCTTCAACTCTGGACTTGGTAGCTGTCCCTTAGCCTTTTTTCTCAAGGCTGGTGCTCTACCACTTTTTGTTGGTTACTTGGAGATAAAAAGTCTCATGAAGGGCTGGGAAGTTGGCTCAGTGGTAGAGCACTTGCCTTGCATGCCTGAGGCCCTGGGTTCGATTCCTCAGCACCACATAAGCAAAAAGAAAAAAGCCGGAAGTGGCGCTGTGGCTCAAGTGGTAGAGCGCTAGCCTTGAGCTGAAGAGCTGAGGGACAGCGCCCAGGCCCAGAGTTCAGGCCCTACAACTGGACCCAAAAAAAAAAAAAGTCTCAAGTTTCTCACCAGTGCTGGCTTCAAGCCTCATTCCTCAGATCTCAGCCTCCTGAGTAGCTAGGATTACAAGTGTGAGCCACAAGTGCCTGGCTGTCTGTATTTCTATTTGTCTATGGGATGAGTGTGCCTCTTGGTGATTGTGCATCAGGTTTTGTGTGTGCACACACTCATTTTGCAGGATGGTGTGTTGCTGAATGTGTAAGTGGATGTTTTTGTTTGTTTGTTTGTTTGTTGTTTGGGTTTTTTTAACTGTATTTTTTTTTGTCTTTTCTTTTTTGGTACTGGGGATCGAACCCAGGACGTTGCGCTTGCTAGGCAAGCGCTTTGCCACTGAGCTACATCCCAGCCCTTTTTGTTTGTTTTTTAATCAGTCATGGGGCTTGAACTCTGGGCTTGGGTGCTGCCACTAAGGTATTCAGCTCAAGGCTAGCACTCTAGCACTTGAGCCACAGCACCACTTCTGGCCTTTTCTGCTTATGTGGTGCTGAGTAACCGAATCCAGGGCCTTATGCATGCAAGGCAAGCACTCTACCACTGAGCCACCTTCCCAGCCCTAGGTGGATGTTTTGTGTGTGATGGCATATTATGTGAGGTGTTTGGTGAGTGTGTTTGATGTGTTTGTTCCATGTTTCTGTGTCTGGTGCTAATGGGACCAGGACTTGTCTCTGGTTTCAGTGTGTGAAGAATTGTATATAAGCCAGGCATTAGTGAATTGTGCTACTCAGGAGGCTGAGTTGTTAAGGTTCACAGTTCAAAGCCAGCCCAGGCAGGAAAGCCCATGAGACTGTTATCTCCAATTAACCACCAAAATAACCAGAAGTAAAACTGTCTCAAGTGATAGAGGACTACCCCTGAGCAAAATTCTAAGGAACAGTACCCAGGCCGTGAGTTCAAGCCCCAATGCTGGTACAAAAAAGAAAATGAAAAGAAAGAATTGTGTGTGTGTGTGTGTGTGTGTGTGTGTTGCTGGGAATCGTGTGTCTCCCATTTGTGTGTTGTTTCTGGTTTTCAGCAGTTCTGATGAGGTATGTGTACTTCAATATGTATTTGTCTTTGTGTTCCTGTGTTGTCTGGATAAATTGTACAATGTAGTATGTAGCTTTTCTGTTTCAGTGAGTTGTGCTTCTTTGTTTCTTTGGGTCCAGTTGTGGGGTGGGGGTGGGGTCCATGGTGACTGTATGTATGTTGTTTTGTCTTTTGGGGGTTCTGATAGTTTGTATGTATGAATATGTGTATTTCAGGTTGAGCATGCTGATGTTTCCATAGTGAATGTGTGTGTGTGTGTCTACAGGGTTAGCAACTACTGGTTTGGCTGTGTATGTATTATGGTGTGTGTGTGTGTGTGTGTGTGTGTGTGTGTGTGTTGTGCAACACAGCCTCTCTGTGTGATGTGTGCCTCCATCCATGCTGGAAACCACACTGGGCCCAGGACCTTCTCCAGTCCCCACATTCCTTTGTGCTCTGTGCTACAAAAAAATATTTGCGTTTTCCACGACTCATAATTTTTCCTCCTCAATCGCTACCAGATGTGGGTCCTGTGGTCCTGTCCCCATGACAACGGAGGTTCCAGCAGCCGCGGTTCCCTTTTGTGGCGCCTGCCCTGGGAGCTGGCATTGCTCTAGTTCCAAGGGGGTGGGGCATGTGGGTGGGTTGGGGAGGGCAGACTATGGTGGAGGGGGCCCTCCTGAGGGGAAGGCAGCTGCTGGAGGGGAGTCCCTGCTCTGGGAAGTACTCACAGAGGAGCTCCTCAAGACTGAACCTCAAATGCTTGGGGGGCTTCCAGGTTTGAGAGAGAAATAGAACTGGACTCCCCAAATCATGCTGTTCCAAGCTTTGGGAGTGGAAGAGCCCAAGCTAGGGGTTTGGGGTCAGAAAGAGGCATGGGGTGACATGATGGCTCTTGGAGGGGGGGCATAGTTTGGAAGGGCAGAGCCTGAGCCACTGTGCTGCCCATCCCTCACAGTCTCTGTCCTGAGCTTGCCGAGTCCAGCTGAGCATCTTCCCATCCTGGCAAACCTTGTGCCTGTGTCCCTAACCCAAGCAGCACATGACTTGGGGCCTGAATGGATTTGAAGCCAGACAGCAATAGGGCCATTGCTGGGAATGTGCCTCACTAGCTCAAGAAAAGCTGTGTGACCCAGAAACAAGCAGCCTGTGATCCACACGTGCTACCTGACTCTGCCAGACACAAGGACTGCTCAGATGCACGGTGTCTCCCACTACCCCCTCATGATAGGAGGCTACTTCCACTAAGGTGGCTGAGCCTATCAGTGATCAATGTAACCTCATGAACTATCTGACTAAATGGCAAGAGTGCTGCCAGGAGCTGGGCATTGGTGGCTCATGCCTGCAATCCTAGCTACTCAAAAGTTTGAGATTCTGAGGATTAAGGGTTGAAGCCAGCCTAGGCAGAAAAGCATATGAGATTCTATCTCCACTTAACCAGCAAAAATGTTAGACCAGAGGCATAATTCAAGTGGTAAAGCACCAGCTGTAAGCAAGACAGTGAGAAGCTCTGAGTTTCAGACAAAGGAATGGGAAAGGGAAAGAGAAAGGGAAAGGAAAGGAAAGAAGAAAGAAAAAAGGAAGGAAGGAAGGAAGGAAGGAAGGAGGGAAGGCAGGCTAGAAAGGAAGAAAGAAGCAATAAGACAGCTCTTCTCCCAAGCAGTTTAGAGACCTGCTAGAAACAGAAAGGTACAGATGGGGACTAGGAGACAAATGATCAGAGATGATCAGGCCAGAGTAAGGTCTGGTCAAAGCCTCTGAGTAGTGAAGTGGAGGATTGGAGGGATGGAGAGTGGCTCTAGGCCAGGCTGGCTCCCCTCTTCCCCCACCCCCTCCCATCTCTCCAGAAGGCAGGGGCAGCCAAGGAGTTTCCGGCTGAGGACAAGGAGCTCATTGAGAGGGACAGCAGGACCCCTTGCAGCAACAGGCCTTCTTGTTTATTCCACATGAGGCCCAGCTTGAGGCTGCAGCCATGGCCCACTGGCCCCTTGGCCCTGGCCTCTGGCCCACCCCAAACAGCTCTGACCTTCACGTTTAACAGTGACAGCTTATGAGAAAGGTTCAGATCAGAAGCAAGCCCCATCACCTGTCCTTTCCAATCAAGGGTCCTTGCTTCCTCCATCTGTTATAATCCATCCTTCCTCCCAGGCAATCAGTTCAGGACAAGGCAGGCCTGGGCAAGAGCCTCATAAGCTTGGCAAACAAACACACGATGGATGGCTCACTATCTATATGAGCCATGGAGATCCATACTAGGGTGCCAAGGCTGGATTTGGAGGAAAGGGTCCTGGTAATGAGTTCAGGCCACATGCAGAGTTTTTAGTGGTATATCTTGGCCAAAGTCTGCAGGAAGTAAGCAATCAGAGCACAGGAAGGGGCGAAAGGCACTTTATTAAGAAAGCTTTGGCTGAGCCCCTGCTAAGAGGAGCCCATCCTGGGGCTCCGGGATGGGACAGGAGCAGCCCTGTTGGGGGGCCTATAAATACATCTCCTCAGGCCACTGGAATCACTCCTGGGGTTTCCAAGACATGTGGGATGGTGGGAGGCTATCAAAACCAGCTTGACAGCCAAGGGACCAGGCACAGGAGAGGGAAGACGTGACACAGGCAACAGGGCTCCAAGTCCCCTAAGGAGCAGAGACCAGCCCTCCTCCCCAGACTGGTCAACCAGATACCCTGTAGCCCAGTCAGTGGTAGCCTCTAGCTACCTACAAGGAAAGGAATCTCTAGCCAGAAGCACCAGGCCCTGGCCTATGAAAGGCAGCCGGGGCAGAAGGGCTTCGGGGCCTCAGCCAATAAGATGATAAGCCTAGCCAAGAGTCCGCTTGGCCTACTGTAGGAGGCGGTCTCCAGGCTGAACCCTCCTGACTTTGGCCAATGAGACACGGGTTGCTCGAAGAGCTCTATAATTTGGCCAATGGGAAGGGAGTAGCCTGCTAAGCGCCTGTCAGGCCTCGACCAATAGGATGGGGACGACTGCCCCTGAGCACTGCTCCAATCAAGAAGCAGCTGCTGGAGCCTGAGCCAATCAATCACAGCCACCCGCCCTGCCACTGAGGGGGTTGGGCCAATGAAAGGCTGTCAATGCCCAGGCTGCGTGGGAAACACGGGGACGCGGAGCTCAGGGTGGCAAGCATGGTGCTAAGCCAGGGGAAGCAGCTGTGGGCGCGATGGGGCCCAACGCCTACTACAGAGTGGGAGCGCCCACCCTAACCAGCTCTCCCGCCGCCTCCCTGCTCTTCTTGCGCGGCGGCTTCTGGATGGGAATCTTCTTCCGAGGGGTTTCATTTGCCGGCGTGCCAGACCCCGCCTTGTCTGGCTCTACAACCTCCGTCGCAGGGGACACGCGGGCCGGCGAGGCGGGCGGCACTGACCGCTTGGCCTTCTGCGGCGGCGCCGGCTTCTCCCGGGGGCTCTGGGCTACGAGCGCTCCCTCCGTGCGACCCAGACTTCGAGTCTTGCCGCGCAGCTCTGCCGCCAACATGGAGGCGGCCTCGGGCGCGCTGCGCAGAGGACCACTGGCGTCCGTTGATTCTGGGAGACCGGGTCCGCGACCCCGAGCTCGAGCCCGGGGCGGTGAGGGCGCGGCCAGACCTGGTAGCTCCTCGGCCAGCCCCGGGGGCCGCGCCGACGCGTCGCTGGGTGTCCGTTTCCTCTTGCTGGGACTGGGTGCAGCCTCAGGACCCGGAGGTGGCGGCGAGGGCGCGCGGGCCGCGGCGGCGGCTCCGTGCTTGCCATGGATCCAGGACACTTTGGGCTTGGTGGCAGGGTCGGGTGGCGGCGGTTTCCTGCGCTCGGGCGATGGCGAAAGCGACAGGCCCCCAGCCTCACCTCGGGCCCGGACCGGCCGGGCCTCGCGCCGGGCTACGCGTGCGTACAGCGCCCCGCCAGGCCCCTCCACACTGGACGCTGAGCGCTCGCTGTCAGAGGACGCCGGGAGGGGCGCTGCTGCTTCCTCTGCGGACGCCCGGGTGGTCAAGGTCGCCGGGGAAGGCGCTGGTGCGTCAGTAGGCAAGGTTGTGGCCTCTGGTTCTCGGCTCTCCGTTGCGGCCTCTAAGGAAGGAAGAAGGCATCCAGATCACCACCTCCAAAGGTGCCTTTCCCTCTTCACAAACCAGAGCTGGGCTATCGCTATGTCGCCCTGGCATTTAGGTGAGCCTGGCATACTCATACCACCAACCACAAACAGTTTAGAGCCACAAGGTGTGCTACTGACTGCTGGAGAAATGGACACATTTTCTGGGCTGATGCCGAGATTTGAGCAGACTTTGCGCCTGTTGCCCACCAGACCCCCCAACCTCAGGAGCCACCATCATCAAATTTACCTCCTTCTTTTCTAAGAAGGCTCCTATGGCTCAAAGATTAGGCACCTGCCCAAGGTCACTCATTGCTATGGCCAAGAGAAAAGAGAGGCCAGCTTCCCAGCTATTCAGTGTTTAGGTCAGTAGGCTGGAGGCTGCTGGCAAAGGTGTCTCCCTTTACCCAACGGGTCCACTCCCATCTGCCTTCCACTCTCTATCCAGGTCCAGAAATTTCTGTCTGGCTTCCCCTCGAGGTGAAATTGGTCTATGTGTAGTGACAAGAGGGCCTGCATATCTCCCCAGACCCCACCCCAGACGGCTGCTGAATAGTACAGAGGCTTGACTGCAGCTGGAGCTCTGGCCAACCCCCAGTTCCCAGCATGACCTTGGCCTTGCTCCCTGTCTGCAATCCTGTTTAGCAGAGGTCTTAGGAACATTTCGCTGTGCTGGAAGGATGCGCAAACAAGACCATACTCACCCTCATGCGGGACACAGTACACAGGGCCTTCATCTGTGGTGTCGAAGGATGAGAAGGAGGCTCGGGAGGACCATGAAGGTGAAGGCTGTTCCAGTCCTGAGGGTGGTTCCAGGAAGCTGCAGTTGAGTGTGTTGTCCAGGTCATGATGAGCCACTGGGAAGGAGTGAGGCAGAGTTGCCAGGGGCTCAGCCTTGCCCCAGTCTGTGCTCTCATTAGCCAATTGTGAATGAAATGATAAAGACCAGCTCTTCTGTAAGACTGTAGACAGGGCAAGAAACTTAACAGGTAGGGATAGCAGCAAACTAGAATTTAAAAAGGGACAATGTATGTAATGATGGAAGACAGGTATGTGCAGACAGGGAGCTGGAAAAGGTTGGGCTGAAGTGTGGATAAAGGTTAGAAAGAAATAACTGGAGCTGGGTGCTGCTGGCACAGGCCTATAATCCCAGCTACTCAGGAGGTATAGGATCAAGGTTCAGAGCCAGCCTGTACAGAAAAGTTTGTGAGACTCTTATCTCCAGTGAACCAGCTAAATATTGGAAATGGAGATGTACCAACCTTGGGAAAACAAAAATAGAAGCAAGTGCCAGGCCCTGTGCTCAAGTCCTAGTACCAATACACACATACAAAAAGACAGGTGTAAAGAATTGGACCACCAGGGTTTCAAAGCTATGCTTTGGAGTCAATTTTGTGGAACTTGGGGAGCCTTGAAGCATACCCTTTTGAGCCCATCTCAGCTGCCTGTACCCCATAGGCTTAGCCTTCAAGGATGCAGACCCCACATTGATGAATGTCAGAGGTGTGTTGGCCTTCTCTGTCTACAAGCCCCGCACCTGTGTCCATAGATGTCATGCTGCTGTGTAAACCAGAGTTTTTCCTCAGCGGTCTCCTTAACCTTCCCATAGCCTGAACAACTGCCCCCCCCCAATCTATCTTCAGAAACAAGTGCAAAACAGAGAGTCCGTCTCATTGTGTGTCAGCACAGAAAGGAGCAGCAAGACACCTGCCTGAAGGCCTTTGGGGTGGGGAGGGCAAAGAACCAGCTTGCCACTTCCCTGGAAGGGCTCAGAGCACTGGTGGGAATCCAAGCAGGAGAGTGGGTCTTGGGACAGAATGTTCCCATTTCTACATCCCTGTGCATTCCTGGCAGCTCCTCATCAGGATGCATATATTGTACCATCCTTCAGCTGGGTTGCCTGACAGTTCTGTCATTCACACATGGCTAATGCAACCACTCACAGCGCCCCATGCCTCCCCCTCACACACACATCTGCTCTGACATCTAGGATTCCTGCCTGGTTCTCTGGCCATGCCCCTAGCAAGTGGGGCACACCTTCACTTTGGTCACACTTCCTCCAAGCTCACCCACATTAAAACCCCGTACATCACCTTTACAATAGCATTTTTTTTCTTTTTCTTTTTTTTTGGTGGGGGGGGTCGGTCGTGGGGCCTGAACTCTGGGCCTGGGCACTGTCCCTCAGCTCTTCAGCTCAAGGCTAGCGCTCTACCACTTGAGCAGCAGCGCCACTTCCGGCTTCTTCCTTTTTGCTTATGTGGTGCTGGGGAATCGAACCCAGAGCCTCATGCATGCAAGGCAAGCGATCTACCACTGAGCTACCTTCCCAGCCCCAACAATGTTTTCTTATTGAAAACCACTTTTTAAAACATTAAAAAAACGCTTTAGGGTCCCCACTTTACCTATCCCTGGAGTCCCCTCACACCTATTTCCCAGGAGCCTCCTGCGCAGGGAGGTGTTTTCTCCTGAGACTCCGAGCTCTCATCCTTACCTACGACTTTGGGCAACTTTTGCCTGCGGAGTGGGATCCGGGGCAGCTTCATGCTGATGCGGCTGAAGCGACCACACAGGCGTTGTGGAGCCTTCTTCCTTCCAAGCGAAAGCTCCCTGCGGGGGCAGGGCCTGAGCGAAGGGGCAGGGCTGGGAGGGGAGGCTCGATCTTCCCGGGCGCTTTAAGGATGGGGCTGAGCTAGTGGAGGGCGGAGTCTGGGCCCAGAAAGCGCGAGGGTGTGGCCTGAGCCAAGTGGAGCGTGGGGGGCGGGCCTCACCGACTCACGGGGTCCTTGCCGCGGCAGGCGCAGCAGCAGCCAAGTAGCGAGAGCAGGAGGCCCAGGAGCAGGGTGAGCAGCGCGCCCGCGCCCATCACGCCTTTGCGTTGATTGGTTTCTGCGGGTGTACCAGGTAAGTGTGGGCACCAACAGCCCCCGTGTTCCCTAACCCCCGATGTCCCTCATGCACTCACCCAAGCGGCAGGCACCAGTGACCGGGTCACATGAGTCCTCGTGGCAGCTACAGGCCTGGGCGCAGTCCACGCCGTGGAGCCCTGGCGGGCATGTTACGTTACAGCTGCAAGGGTTCTAAGTCAGACAGAGCCACGGAGGCCCACCGAAATGCTTCCCCTTCCCTACCCCAGCCGCTAGCAGGCCCAGGCCTGGCTATCCAGTTCCATTATGTAGGGATTGAAGCTCACTCCTACCTGCGGCCAGGCACACACTGGATGATCAATAATTTGGAAGTGATCGTGTGCGCCATCAGTAGGAGCAGATCTGGAGGATGAGGGGTGGTCACCCAGCCTCAGAATCTTTTTCTGGAGCTAACTGTTGTGTGGGTTGGAAGAAGGGCTGCCAGTGCAGACTGCTGACTAAATGGAAGTCCCTACTCTCTATACAGCATCCTGGTACCACATCAGGGCAGGAAACCTACCCCCAAACTCTTTGCCACTCTCTAGTTGAGTTAGGGGCTAAGGACAGAGAGTCCAGCCTGGGTCCCACCTTGTCTGTCCCTGAGGTCTGGCTGGAGCCCCCCCGTGTCCGGCACATACTTTCTAACCCCTACGAATCCCGAGGTCACTCACTGAGGCCCGTGGACACCAGGGCTGCAAAGGCAGCGCCCTGACTGGAAGTCACAGTGGCCGCTGCCGCAGTCCGCGCACACGAACGCACAGTCCTCGCCATAAGTGCCATTGCTGCACTTGGTCTCACACCTTGCAACGAGAAGAGGCATCAGCAGAAACAGAAGCAAAAGGACCCCAAACCGAGAGTCCTCCGCAGAGGGCCTTCGGGGGCAAGGCAGGCCTTGATGCGGGGAGGTTGCAGGTCTGGGTCGAGGGAGGCACGGGCTGCTCACCGGTCGCCAATCCAGCCCGCGTTGCAGCGTGTGCATTTGCCAGTGACGTGGTTGCAGGCATGCCCGTCGCGACAGGGCGGGCAGCGGTGTTCACAGCCCTCCCCGTAGAAGCCGGTGGCGCAGGGCTGGTCGCATTTGGTTCCGTTCCAGCCTGGCTCGCAGGTCAGGCAGCGGCCCTCGGCGACGGTGCACGGTTGCTGGCCTTTACACTGGCCGCACCTAGGGCGGGGTCAGGAAGTGGGGCGGAGCGGGAACCCCTCTCGTCCCCGCCCCTCCTCGGCGGCCCGCCCTTTTCCCCCTCGGCTTTCCTAGCAGGCGGGACCCTCCTCCCCACGCTTACCGGCGGCGACAGCCCAAGCCGTAGAAGCCGGCGGGGCATGGCTCGCGACAGTACTTGCCACGGTAGCCCGGCTCGCAGGCGCACGTGCCGTCCACGGGGTTGCAGCGGCCGCGGAAGCACTGGCAGTAGCGATCGCAGCGAGCGCCAAACGTGCGCTCGCGGCACTGGCAGCGGCCGCTCTGCTGCTCACAGGGCGAGGAGTTGCAGGCGCACTGATTGTTGCAGCTGCGGCCCCACCAGCCCGCGTGGCACAGGCAGGCGCCGGTCTGGGGGTCGCAGCGCGACGTGGCGCTGCAGTAGCAGGCGCTGGCGCACTGCGGGCCCCACCAGCCGGGCTCGCAGCGGCACGCGCCGGTCCGCGGGTGGCACGTGCCATGCTGGCACTGGCACGCATGCTCGCAGCGCGCGCCCCAGCGCCGCGCGTGGCACGTACACTGGCCCGTCACGTCCTCACACTGCCCGTTCGGGTGGCAGCTACACCGTTCCTTGCAGTCAGGACCCCAGAATTGGCGCGGGCATTCTGCAAAGACGCGGGAGTGGGAGCCTCCACTTTCTGCGTGGATGGCGTCCCCGCCCGCATCCTCCCACCGTCACTTCAGGGGGACTCAACGCCAAGACTCTACACCTTAGCGGAGACAGACTTCGCCCCGCCCCGAACCTCGCTTAGACCCCGCCCCGTCTCTCCAGCGTGCCGCGCAGGCGCCCAGCGCCCTCCCCACCCCGCACTCACTAGTGTCGCAGTTGGCACCGAAGTAGCCGTGGCGGCAGCGGCACTCGCCCGGCCTCACGCACACCTCGTTCTCTGAGCACGTGGAGTTGCCTTCGCACACCGCTGCGGGACACAGGCCGAGCTTGTGGGCACATGCTCCCCCCACCTCGAGCCCTCCACCCCCAGTTCCCAGGATGAAGAACTCACCGATCCCACACTCGTCCCCCTGCTGCCTCCAGCCAGCGCAGCACGTGAACACCTGGGGACTGTGAGCCGAAAAAGGACGACTGAGTGTGACCTGACTTCCTCCTCCCTACAACCGCTTCCCTAATCTTCATCTGCACTGGGGTTCCCCTCTCCCCACCCTCCTCCCACCCCCAGCCAGTCCCTACGTGGCCTCCCTGGGTACTGCCTTAGAAAGGTAGTTATGGCCTTGACGTGTGCTGGGCGCCATTACAGATGTGGAAGACTCAAGTTTTGGTGCTCAGGAAGTCGACCCTGGGCAGAAACGGAATAGTACCACAAACAGCTCATCTCCAGTCCTACCTACCTACAAGGACTCCCCCAGTTCTCCCATGCCACCTAACTCCCCTGTGCCCTCCTGCGGGACACTAGGCTGAGAAAAGGAGTCCTGAGTTCCAGAAGGTGCAGCACAAGGGGGCAGGGGTGGCTAGAGGGCAGATCCTAGTCTCAGGACCCCTTACAGGGGCTAGGTCATCTCTTAAGGCTTGGGCCTGGCCAATTGCATGTTAGTAACTCCCTTGTGAAATGACTGGGAGGGTACCAGAACCAATAGACATACATGGATGCCCAGGTGGGGCTAAGCATCAGGGTGGATGGCAGCCTCTAAGCAAAGTGGGCTGTGGACACAGTTCTTTTTCAGGGGAGGCTCGTGGGGGGTGGCAGAAGGGGGAAGGGTCATCTATCTGCTAGGAAGAGGGGCACAAGGGAACATGGGAGTTCTCAATGAGCATAAGGTATAAGTAAAACAGAGCCTGGGGTGCCAGGGTAGGAGTTGAGGTAGAGGAAAGGGAGATTGATGAATCTACTTGTATTTATTGTTTTTTTTTCTCCCTCGGTCTGGTCGTGGGGCCTGAACTCTGGGCGTGGGCACTGTCCCTCAGCTCTTCAGCTCAAGGCTAGCGTTCTACCACTTGAGCCACAGCGCCACTTCCAGCTTTTTTCTTTTTGCTTATGTGGTGCTGAGGAATCGAACCCAGGGCCTCTGGCATGCAAGGCAAGCGCTCTACCACTGAGCCACCTTTCCAGTCCTTTATTGTTTTATTATGAAGGACTTGGTATTATATTACTCTGGTAGAAGATCTTGGTTGTTCTGTTTTAGCCATGTGGAAGTGGAGCTTAGGCCTCACACATGCTAGCAAGCATTCCACCATTAGCTACACACTCAGCCCCTAGAAGGTAATTTCTTTTCTTTTCTTTTCTTTTTTCTGTCAGCTGTGGAGCTTGAAACTCTGGGTCTGGGCGCTGTCCCTCAGCTTTTCAGCTCAAGGCTAGCACTCTACCACTTAAGCCACAGTACCACTTCAGGTTTTCTGGTGGTTAATTGGAGATAAGGGTCTCACAAACTTTCCTGCCTGGACTGGCTTTGAACCGTGATCCTCAGATCTCAGACTCCTGAGTAGCTAGGATTACAGGTATAAGCCACTGGTGCCCAGCTCTATTATATTTTTTCTTGTGCCAGTCCTGGGGCTTGAACTCAGGGCTTTGGTGCTGTCTCTGAGCTTTTTTTTTTTTCTTCCTCAAGGCTAGCACTTTACCACTTGAGCTACCAATCCAATTATGGCTTTCTTTTGGGGGGTGAGGGATTGACAGAAGATAGGTTTCATAGACTTGCTTATCTTGGCTGGCTTCAAACTCTGATTTCAGGTCTCAACCTCTTGAGTAGCTAGGATTACAGGCATGAGCCACCAACACCTGGCCTAGAAGGTAATGTCTAACTATAGTATTTCAGAGTGTCATGGCTTCTAAAACCACACCAGATGCCAGGTGAAAACCCATAGTGGTTAGAGAGATACCTGGAGACTGTGGATGTCATGGAACTGCCCATGTTTTTTAGAGGGTAGAGGCTGAAAAAGGACAGCCAGTGAGGCTGCTGGTTCCTACAATCCCATCAGACACAAAATTTTGCCTCAGTCCTACAAGAACATAGCATCCATTTACACTTCAGAGAAATCTAGTACCAGGATGTGATGGGAGAGGGCCTGGAGAGCTGGTGGGGTAGGAAGGGCTGAAGGGAAAAACCGAAGCTACCTTCACCATGTCCTATACATGCCACCCAGACTTCAGACGCCTCCAACTTGGTCAGGGTTCCGAGGCCCAAGAACAGTCCCTTCCTCATCAAATGAGCTACTTCTCTGCCAGGCCAAAGGTGAGACCTGGTGAACAGGATCAATAAAACCCTGTACACACACACACACACAGAGGAAATCATAGACTAAAACAACAAGCCTGGATTTTCCTGCTTTTATTGTCTCACCTACCCAATCCTGACCCAGAGGCTTCGAACAACACATTTGCAGACAGAGCCTACCAGCTCATCCCCCTGTCACTTCTGCCTGATCTTGGCCTCAAGATGGAGATCTACAGTTGTTCTTTTTTATATATATATATAAAGTTGTTCCTCTTTTAAGAATCCCTGCCGGATGACCTGCTAAGTTTGACCCAGAAGCACTGACTACCCCTTTCTCTGGATAGCCTGATACAGGGTGCTGTGACCAGGAGCCTGCGCTTTTATGGCCACAGCCAACTGAGTTTGATATCCAGGTCTACTGCTTGTTATGTGACCTCAGCAAAGAGCTTAACCTCTCTGAACTGTATGTTCCTTACCTATAAGAATATGGCTCATGGATTTGGCAGAAAGATTAGGAGGAAGCCAACTGCAATGTTTCGCATTTTCTAAGAGCTCTGCCATGGCTGTGGTAGTTTATGTGATTATCTGCTCTCTAGTTCCATGTAGACCTTGGGGATTCTGCAAGTAGGCTTGAGGAAGCCTCTGAGTACAGCTGGTCATTCTCAGCATGGCTGGCATCTAGGCCTCACACAGCAGAGCTGACACTACTAACAGAGAGAGCCTATTTGGGTTCACCAAACACAAGAGTTTCCTCGGAAAGACTGACAGTAAGGCTAGGCTGGGCTGGTAGGTTAACTGGTCAAAGATCTTAGGAAGATGAGGTAGAGAAGACAGCTGGTACAGGGCACATTTCCAGCTTGCTTTCTAGTTGGTGAGACTCAGGGAACCAGACCACAGCAACAAGAATGGCAGGCTGTGGGTTGCCTCTTTAGAGACCACTGTTCCTGTCATGATGCAAATGTGCTGTGATTTCATCTGAGATGTAGCTCACTGCATCTGCACATAGCCTGAATTGCTCCCAAATCAGCCAGGGAGGTTTTTCTACTAGCCATGCAGCCACTAGAGAACTCATCTATTTGACTCTTCCTGCCCCAGGACCCCCCTTATCTGGTTCTGTCCCAAACTTCCCATCTCTCCTGTCCTCATTTCCACCTACCTTTACCTTCTTCAAGGAATTTTCCAGGTCACATTAAGCAACAATACATGGGAGACCTCCTCAATTCCAGACTCGCAAATCCAACTGTCTACTGGACAATGTCACCACAGGGAGAACTCAAGAGTGTCTCAAGAGTGACCTCCTCTATATTCCAAGTCTTTTCTACCTCAAGTCACACTGGTCCTTCCAGGTTGGGAGGCCAAGATTCTAGGACACCCCTGACTCCTCTCTATCCTCACTAGAGCCACTGAGAAACACCTGCTTTCTCTTCCCAGCCACATCTGGTGGGGGGAACTGATTGTCCCTTGCCCTATCCCAGCTTCCAAAGACCCACCTCCTATTTTCATAGTGTCTGTCTTCTGGCTGACCCCAGCTTCTGCCCTTCTGCCACCAAAGTGCCTGCCACCTAGAAGCCAAGCCTGGTCAGAACCACTTGCTTCTGCAAACCTCATTTGACCACAGGCTTTAGAGAAGAAGTCCAGGTCTTCAGAAAAGTGGGTGAACTGTGGCTTCCATTTCTCTTTCATCATTTCCCTGGGCTCTGCAGCCCCAAGACTCCTGTGATTCCAAGAAGCCTCTGTGTTGGGTCCTTGTCTGGAACACCGCTAGGGTGTCTTTCGCCTCTGGATTTGTGTACTCACCACCTTTTCAGTGGATTTCCCCCAGATCATCACATAGAAAGTAGCACCCCAAACTCAACAACTCTCTCCCAGGCCTTCTTAGATGTCTAGACACTTTTGCTTCCTGAGCTGGCGGTCTCCTCTGTCCCTGGCACAGGGGTTTGGTATCTGCTGCTGGGTCTTCAGTAACACAGGCTCCTCACCCAGTAGGAGCACAGCATTTTGTTGGCTGAGTGCAGGCCCTTCTCTCTGGCCACAATAACAAAAGGGAGGGTCCAGAATCCAGGTAGGCAGTGTCCAAAGTGACTGTCCTTGCTTGGAGCCCTCCCCTTCCCCCACAAAACCACAGAAACTCCTCCCCTCCAAACTCCTCCATGAAGTAATGCTCCATCACCGACCCCATTTTACAGATGTGGAGCAAAGCCCAGAAAACTGAAGGACTTGCCCAGGTCCACACAGCTGGGAAGAACTAGCACCAGGATGTGAATGCAAACCCAGGCTCTTGGCTACAGACACAGCCTGGCGTCTTGGGGAGGTCTTCTGGCAAGGGGACCGGGGGTTTTAAGGGATCCCACGCTCCAGCTCCCAGCAGTTCCATCCCGCTACCAGATCCCCATCCCCGGACGGGGCCCCGTCGCGGGACGAGGCCTGGGCGCGTAGTCAGAGCCAGGCGACCATCGCGCCCTCCCCCTCTCCAGGCTCGGCCCCGCCCGCCACCGCCGCCGCTGCATTCCTGGGGCTGGGGAGGCCTGGGAGGCGGTGGCGGCGGCGTCGATGCGAAGCAGATGGCGAGCCAGGCCGGCCCCCGCCTCGGAGGCGGGGCTCGCAGGGGGAGGGGCCTGTGCGCCTCCGGACCCCAGTTTGGAAACCCCGCGCGGCCCCCCGAGTAGCCCCTTGTCTACCTTGATTTCCATCCCCACACCCCCAGCCGCTGGACCGGATCTCGGCCTTTCCCCGCCCTTCCATCCAGAGCGCCCGGAGGGGATCCAGCCCAGAGTCCCACCGTTGCCTCTCCAGCTGCCCGCGGGTGCGGCACCCCTCAACATCCACCAACTCGCCTCCTCGTCCCGGTGCAGAAGCCCATGCCCTCGCCCTGGCCTCACACTCCACTGCCCACTTCTGGCGTCCTGCCTTTGGCTTTGCTCACCACGAAAAGCACTCCAGCCCGCTGTCCTCTGACTGGGCCTGTCCCACACCGGCTTCCCCAGTGGGCGCCTCGCAGCAACCCACCTCTGACGCCCCTCCACACATCTCCTGTCGCCACCCCGGGAGTCGCCACGAGTCCCCACAACCTCGGGGCCCCCGGGCCCATCACTGTCTTCTTGGCTTCCATTTCCGATCCACTCTGAGCTCCGACTCTTCGATGATCACTCTCCCCCGCCCCCCCCTCCCCAACCATCCTCCCACCCTTACCCGTTCTTCCTACAAACAAACTGTCCTTCCTTTGGCCTGTCTCAAAACTTTTCTGGATCCTTCCTCCTTCGCCTCTCCTCTTACCCCACTCCAGGCTCAAACCACTCGTGCCCAGAGCTTTTACACATGTTGTTCCTTCTGCTTGGAATGCCTTTTCTCTCCCTCTCCTCTACGGCCTTCACAACACAACACAGCTCTCCCCCCCTTCCCTTGTGGGGTTTATGGCATTGGTTATCCCCTCAGGTGACTTCTGGTCCAGGGTATCCTCGGATGCACCGTCGTGGCGCAGGGCCCAGGTCTGTCTGGAATGAAGCCAGTGTGGGCGAGGGTGACCGAAGGGGCCCACGCGTGTGACACAGGGAGATCCGAGGCGCCCCACAACCAACCACCAATGCCTAGCGCCGCCACCCTCCTAGTCCCGAGCGTCTCCCTCCTTCTGCTCCCCAGGCGAGCTGAGGTCCTACCCGGACGCGCGGCACACGTTGCGGCCTCGCGGGTTCAACTCCTGGGGCTCCGCGGGGCCAGGCAGCAGCCAGAGCAGCAGCACCAGCAGTGG